GAAAGAGATTTTTGAAAGAAATTGAATATAAAATAATCTGAGTGATGTTTTCACTGGTGTGTTTTATCTAAATTGTATAAATAGTTTTTTTAACCATAGAATGGGACCTTTATATTTAAGAACTTAATATTTAGGGGGGGGGTCCTCTCTGTGGAGGCCGCCATGTTTTGTACTGTTGTCCAAACTGGCAGCTAAAACCTTTTGAGTTTTTATGACAACTGAAGTTCACCACAGGTTCTTTTTCATGTTGGGAAGGGGAGGTGAGTGTTCAGCTGCAACATGCAACGTCATCTGTAGATGTCACTAAATTCTACACATTGAACCTTTAAAAGAAAAAAAATATAAGATTATACCCACTACACTACTGAGCAGCTATTATTTTTTCATACCCAAAAATTTTAATTCAGTCATTATCTACTCACCACTATGTCGATGGAGGGCTTGGTGAAGTGTTTTAGTCCACAAAACACTTTTGGAGTTTCAGGGGTAAACAGCGTTGCAGCTAAATCCAATACAATTTAGGTAAATGGTGATCACTTTTTCAACGTAACGATGTCATGACGACGATCTTTTCTATAGCCAATCAGTCTGAAATGGTGACATAAAAATAATCGTATTAGCAATACAATATTGCAGTGATTTTGAGCCAGTGGAGTTGCCAACCACTGTTGTAGTTTATGTAGAAGAAGACATGTTGAACTCTTTCTGCAGACTGACTTTTAGCATGCTGCCCTATCCCCACTGCCTGCTACATAATGCTGGTACACTGCACAATGTAGACTGACGAAAAACAAATTATTCTTTTATGCTTTACTGATGTACATTGTATAATTTGTTGAGAACAAAATTATGTAGCAATGGTCAATGAAAACCAAAATCAACCCATTGAGGGATGGATTCAAAACCACACCAAAAATCAAAGTAAAAATAATTAAATCACAGGATGACTCAACTTGCATGAATTTCCTCGCAACTCATGATGTGACTCAGGAGTGTGTATGGCCTCCACATGCCTGTATGCACTCCCGAAAACATCTGGGCATGCTTTTGATGAATCTGCAGATAATGTCTTGGGGGTTCTCCAGACCTAGGTCAGGGCATCACTGAGCTCCTGGATAGTCTCTGGTAGTACTGGGCAGCCTCGGATACACCAATACATAACGTCCCACAGGTGCTCAATTGGATTAAGGTCAAGGGGTTGTAAGGGGCCAGTCAATTGCAACAATGTCTTTGTCATCCAGAAACTGCCTACACACTCTGGACACCCAAGGCAGGGTTATAAAATACATCCAGTGAATGAACCAGGCAATGATTAATGCCTCTGACCCTCCTTCCATTCGGGTAACTTCACTTATTTGGTGATATATATAATGTAAAGAACTGCCTTGTGTTTTAAAATGATGCAGTTGGCATGTATCTTTTTCACAAGGTGCACACATAGAGGCTGATTTTAATTGTCACCATGTAAGCTATAATCAGATCTTTTAGATAAAAAAATCTTTTTCTTGATATTTAGCTCAAACTCTGCCTCATGAAATCTCTATTCAACCTGCACACATGAGAGGAGTGCGCTTACAACAAGCACCAGATGCGCATTTGTACGGTGACAGAGTACAGTTTTTGTTGAGAGAAGAAAATGAGGACATTCTTGAAATGAGTAAAAGTGCTCACAACCTCAAAACAAACCGAGAAAAAAAATATAAATAAAGTCAAAATCAAAAAACTTCACTGATATCAGACTCCAAATTTCTATTGTTGACGCGCTTGCCCCATGTACACAGGCTGTCAAAAGCTCCAAGTACACAATATCTAAATACGTTAGATCCCACACTCGGAGAGGGTTGGCTTCCATCATACTGCAATAAATTTTTTCGCTGCAGTGAGCCCAGCTAAAAGCAATCGCTTTTTGACCAATGTTAGCCCAACTCAGACAAGTAATTTAGTGTAAGTATAATAGGCGAATGAGGGACACCACACTCAAACGTATCAGAGAGGTTAGAAGCCACCATTTGCCAGAATCTGGCTACCGGAGGACATTCCCAAAAAAATATGGAAATAAGTACCAGCAGCCTAGAGCATAGAGTACAAAAGGGTCAGGAATCATTTCATTTTCATTAAAGTCACGTATGCTCTGCATTTTCTGGAAGCTGGTGAAAGGAGAACTCATGCAGCAGCTGATGTCTTATGCAGAACATTTTAATGTAGACTTGATGCATCAAGGAGACCAGAATGTGGAACAATATATCTGCTGCCCTCCATACTGACAGCAATTGCAAGATAATCAGGCCGTTCTTCTGACAACACTGAGTGATGGGCAGATTGAGCGATCTTCCCCATCTGCATGCCTTGGGCAAGATGCTGAACCCCGAATTGCCGTTTGAACAAAAATTGCTGCTAATAGATGAATGTGTGTGTGAATGGCAAAATGTATGGTAAATCAATCAATAAATTTGGCTGTCAGAAAAATATTGAATATTAATATTAAAAATGTGTATATTAAAAAACTTCAATTGATTAAAGCTACCTCGGGGCACCAACCTTCAGAAGAAAAGAAATGATAGCTAATTTATTGATTAAGTCTCATGAAAGTACTAACTACAAATTTGGAACTTTGATTAATAATTGAATTAATAACTGCTAGCAAAGTTGAAGGATATGGAGTTTTTGACAATGTAGAGGTTGGCAAAATTCACACATGCAACATTAATGAAGACAGCATGTGTGTTAAAGAAAACATTTATTATGAAATGAATAAAGTGGTATAACAATATTATAAACACATAAACTAATAAAAGGCATTCTAACTATATACAGAGGTGTGTGTGTGTGTGTGTGTGTGTGTGCTCGCTCGCTGAATGAGTGCTTTCAAAATGGCGGCTGGCCACGCTGAAACAAATGAGCACATGTGGTTGTTGTCATACGTATGTGTTAACTTTGGGGAGATGCGTATGTGAGGTGTTGGTGCCAGGTTAGAGAAAGTAGTTAGTTTCATGCAAAGAAAGAGTCTGATTCTATGAACAGCCGATTTAACATATTACCAAATATCACAGCAACACAAATCAAACTTATAAACATCACACGAAATGAAGTAAACAGTCCTTTGCTTAGCCTTGTGTAATTATTAATCCCAGTTGTGTTACCTGCCCATGAAAATGGGGAAAGGTCCTTGGTGATTTGCTGTTTGAAGTCCAGTGAAGTGGTCCTGCTGGTTTGTGGCTCCTGTTGTTGTGCATCTGCTGGTCAGACCTTGTGTCGTGGCCAATTGATCATGCTGAAGTCCTTAGGCAGGCTCTCGAGTTGCTGTCTTTTGGAAGGTATTAGCAGTCTGCTTCAAACAGGCTTGCTTGGAGGTTGGAGAGCTTGGGTAGGGAGGAAGTCTCCCTGGCTGGGTGAGCATGAGAGATATCCACCTCTCCTCCAGGAAAATGAGTAGAAAGAGAAAGAAAAGAGAGGGAATTGGTCTTTTATTGGCCCTGTGAACTCATGGGTCATGGTGTACACAGTGACCAATAGTGATGGAAAGTTGTGTCCAGGGGCAGGTTTAAGGTGGGAGATGGGAGACTGAGTTTTGGAAGCTCTCCCCTGTCTCCAGAACAAAGAAGACGTGGTCAGGCTTTGGCAGCACATGTAGACCCATCCTTTGTTATCAAATGGTTTGTCCCAACATCACTGTGCACTAATTTTGTCATGTGACCCTAGGGACCAAGCCAGCCACACTCTGCATTTAGAAGTTAAAGGGCTCTGTAACTGACACACTCTATTGGGTCTTTACTTAAAAGCAGTGTTAATGTCTCGTGATCATCCAACAATGGACTGATCAAGAGCCAAAAGGCAAGGTACAACTCTGGCGGGATTCCGTCTAGACCTGGTGATCTACCCTTGCACATGTCCCCTACTACTTCCTTAATTTCTTGCAGTGTAACAGATGCATTCAGGTTTTCATTATCATAAAGACCCTCCATACGAATATTATTCAAAAAGCTTTCACATGCAGTTCTAGTGTCTTATTTCGGACAGATGCTTACATTGTAGTGTTGCTTCTGTCGAAGCACTTCACTACCTCCCATAATCTTCTCTTCTTCTAGAATAGTTGTCCTTTTATGTGAAATATTACGATGCCTGGCATTGACAGAAATAAAGTTCAGATCAGTCATGTTTTATATAATGATGTAATATGGATTGTAGTCATGTGTACAGACAGGATACATTGGCCTGGAACCCTAAAATAGCACTCCCCAAAACAAAGAACCATAAAGAAACCCAAAGTAAAGAGAAACCTTACTGTCCAACATTTCTGATAGGTCCACAAAAAACAAAAAACTCAAATCAAAGAGCTATAATGCTGCCTTAAAGAGGCGGCACCGCCACCACCAACAACCAATTTGGTGATATCACACGTAATTTCTGTTAACATGTTAGACATCAAAACAACACTATAAGTCACCATACCGCACACAACAGGTCAAATTATGATGAGAAAATGTGATGTTTGCGGAAAAGTGAGGAGAGACAAATACAGTAAATGAAAAGGGAGATAGTACGCCCTTACAGAAATACTAATTAGACATTTGTGTGAATATGTTTAAAACAGTCACACTCTAATGATGGTATGTTTGACACCTTTAGTAAATAAACATTCACATTATTGTTATTTACTCTATGGTTTAAAAAAAATTGACAAAAATAAATTAACAAACGTGTATGAAGAGAGTTAAGATATGGCAGTATAAGTCAGAGACCAGAGAGCATATCTAAATCAAATAACATTGAAGAGTCCCCCTCTCCTGTATCACTGATAGAAAAAGTAAATCAAAACTGTTGAGCTTGGTGAAGGAGCACAGCTCAAAAAAATCAGAATTAACGTGAGTTAAGTACACTTATTACTTTTTCGGCCTAAAGCTGTTACATAATGATTTGTATGTGGCCTGTGAGTTGGCAGACAGCTTAATATGAAGTTTTGTAATGTTTGAATTGATAGTTTTTTTGTGTATGTTGTGTAGATCTTTCAAGAGCCAGGCCTCGAATTGCAGTGAGGAGGAAACGAATGGCTGACAAATCAACCAGCACCTCAGACCCAGTCACTGAGGATGACCATGTACAGGTATATATATATATATATACACACACACAAACACACACCAAACTGTAGACATTTGTTTGTGCTGTTACACTACAGTTTTGAAGTCATCGATTTAAAAAGGTGTCATTTATTTTATCATTAAGTGTCCAGGCGGGTGAATACTTAAGTATGCACTGTACATAGTATAATAAACTTTATTATACTTATTATTCATGTTTTCTTTATTGTAATTAAATTTTGTATACATTTTTTTGAGCAAGAAAGCAGTGGAGCATACCATATAGCAGTTACACTACAGATAATTTACACAGTAGACAGTGCCTGCCATTCGAGCGTGTGCTTATGATGACATTTTATTAATTTCATCAATCCATTCTCTTGCCATGGGACATATAGGATTCTTCCAGTTTTGCAATGTGTCTTGTAGCCATGATAAGATCAATACTGATGTCTTTTCATTCAATCAGGAGATGGGTTTCTCCATTTCCCCTTTTAATCTAAATTATTCATCTTCTCCTCAAATAATGGTGTCAATACTTTTCAAAATATGGAGTCACTCTCCCCCAACTGTTCCATATCTTTAATGGTTTCAAAAGCAGTTATATTTGGCCTTATCTCGGAAACTTCTAAATCTTGGTGTGTTTTGGAATTTCCTGACAGCAGTTTCTATTTTTGACTTCATTATGTTTAGGAAATGTCTGACTGTATCTGGAAATATAATTTAATTTAATTCAATTCAATTCAATTTTATTTGTATAGCACCAAATCATGATATACATTATCTCAAGGCACTTTACATAGAAGGTCAAGACCTTAAATTGTATTTAATATAGAGAAACCCAACAGTTCCCACAATGAGCAGCACTTTGGTGACTGTGGATGAAAAACTCCCTCATTAACAGGGAGAAACCTCTAGAACCAGACTCAATTTGGGCAGTCATCTGCCTCGACTGGTTGGGATGAGAAGAGAAAAATGGGGCGGAGAGGACAGATGGGTGGAAAAGAGGGGAGAGGAGAGAGATAGTGGAAAGGGGAAGGAGGGTGAGAGAGGCGAGAGAGACCGGGAACACTTGAGCACCATCAGGTATCAGATCTGACAGAGACAAGGGGAGAAGTGCTCAGTGCATGATGGGAGTTCCCCCAGCAGTCTAGACTCATAGCAGCATAACTAAGGGATGGTTCAGGATTCACCTGATCCAGAACTAACTATAGGCTTTATCACGTTTTTAGTTTAAACTTAAATGCAGAGATGGTGTCTGCCTCCTGAACCCAGAGTGGGAGCTGGTTCCACAGGAGAGGAGCCTGGTAGCTGAATGCTCTACCTCCTGTTGTAATCTTACACACTCTAGGAAGTTCTCCTCTCCATCACCACTCTGACACTGTCCAGTCCCCCTCCAACAACATGGCTGACTTTCCTGATTAGCTTGTTGAGTCTATTAATGTCCTTCTTCTTCAAGCTGCTGCCCCAGCAGACAACAGCAAACATGATGGCACTGGATACAACAGACTCATAGAACATCCGCAGCATCGTCCTGTCTATGTTGAAGGACCTGAGCCGTCTCAGAAAATAGAGACTGCTCTGGCCTCTTTTGTAAATTGTGTCCACATTTTTGGATCAGTCGAGTTTATTATCTAAGTACACCCCCAAGTACTTGTGGTTATCCACCATGTCCACACTGGCCCCATGGATGGTGACAGGGGTCCATGGCCCCTTTGACCTCCTGAAGGCCACCACCAGTTCCTTTGTCTTTGACACATTGAGCTGTAGGTGGTTTTTACAGCTCCAGGTGACAAAGTTGACCACCACAGTCCGGTACTCACTCTCATTCCCATCAGTGATACATCCTACTACTGCAGAGTCATCAGAAAACTTCTGAAGGTGGCAGGTCTCTGTGCAGTAGCTGAAGTCTGTGGGGTAGAGAGTGAATAGAAAGGGAGAGAGGACAGTCCCCTGAGGAGTCCCAGTGTTGCTGACCACTCTGTCTGACATCCAGCACTATAAACGCACATACTGCGGTCTGCCAGTCAGGTAATCCACAATCCAGGACACCAGTGGGGCATCCACCTGCATCGATGTCAGCTTGTCACCCAGTAGCGTCGGCCTGATGGTGTTGAACGCACTGGAGAAGTCAAAGAACATGACCCTCACTGTGCTTCCCGGCTTGTCTAGGTGGGCGTAGATTTGGTTGAGCAGGTAGATGATTGCGTCCTCCACTCCTAGACGGTGCTGGTAGGCAAACTGAAGGCGATCCAGTACTGGTTGAACCATGGGCCGGAGCTGCTGCAGGACGAGACTCTCTAGGGTCTTCATGATGTGTGACGTCAGTGCCACAGGTCTATAGTCCTCAGGGTCGCTGGATCGCGGCTTCTTTGGCACAGGGACGAGGCAAGATGTTTTCCACAGCACTGGAACCATCTGGAGACTCAGGCTCATGTTGAAGATGTGCTGAAGAACTCCACACAGATGGGAGGCACAGGTTTTCAGGACCCTGGGGCTCACGTCATCTGGGCCTGCTGATTTTCCTGTTTGTAGTTTCTTCGGTTCTCTTCTCACCTGCTCAGCAGTGAAAGTCAAGACTGTTGAAGGGGGGTTATTTGTGCATCCCCGGAGAATGCTCTCAGACAGGGGATCTGCAGAGGAGGTGAGAATGAGGCTGTCTGTTGGGGGGAAACAAGGAGAGGAGGGGGAATTCTATTATGAGCATCTGTCACCACACTAGATATATTTTGTCAATAGTGTTTTTTAACGAGGATATAACTACCTATTATGTGCCTTTATTACGAGGATATAACTACCTATTATGTGCCTTTATAACGAGGATATACTGTATCTAGTGATAGTACACCACGCAGAGATTTGTAGCTTATCTCTAATGATGGGTGTCTAATATTAATAGAACAGAGTACAATGTTTTCTTCAACAATTGTTTTGTTGCCAAGGTGACAAAATCATGAGTGTAATGGCTGAGCCGAACCCAGCCAATTCAGTGAGCAGTATGACAATTTACATGCTTTGTGAATTATACTCCATATATACACTCCTTGAGAAAGACAATATTGGGTTTGGATTCTCACCTTCCACTTGTTGTGGGAGCATGGTAATACAACTATAAAGTTGCCAGACTCTGTTGAAGCATTACCCAAATCCGGATAATTTTTTCCCCAAAGTTCAGCTAGTTTGATTGTCTTAAAAGATACATATGCACTAACGTCCGATAGAGTCCTCCTTTATCCCCATTCATGCCCGTCTTATTTATTTAGATTCTGGGCTTCTTGTTAACCCAAATAATATCTGATAATTTTTAATATTGCTTTTCAATAAAGAAATCTCAGAAATCTCGAAGGGAGCATTATAGATAGATAATGAAATTGAGGAGCTACTACCATTTTCACTTTTCACTTTTCCCCAGAATGCCTGAAAATGATATATTTTATTTTGCTCAATAGTGGGACATAATTGAAAGTATTTATTTCATCCAGATTTAATAGGCACTTCATTCCACCTGGCACCACCTTCCCTCCCTGGAGGGTGGTAGTCTGTTACAGGTGGGGCTCAAAGGTACATGCTTGAGGTCAGTGGGAACGTTTCCTTATGTTAGTCACCTAAACCAGAGATGTCAAACTCAAGGCAATTATACAATATATCCAGCAAGCGATAAAATATCATATGTCTACTTTAACTACTCCACTGGTGCTTAATGCCCAGCTAAACACAAGCCCTAATTTCCACTCCCTGAGTGGAAGCCAGGCGGTGTGCGCGGGCTCCATAGGCCGAGCAACAACCCTCAACGAGAGTGAGTAAAAAAACTACCAAAAAACCTTTTAACAGGAGAAAAAGAACTTAGAAACTTCAGAGAGAGCCACATGTGAGGGATCCATCTCCCAGGACGGACAGAAGTGCAGTAGATGCCATGTGTAATAGAGAACGTCAGAAAAATAAGAGTAATTACAGCATCGGTTAGAGTACATAGTTTGTAGCATGATGGACACACATGGCACGTGTACATAAAAGAACAATGAAGCTTATCTAAATGTTTTCTTTTGCAATTTATCCAATATCCTGTCCATCCTGTTTAATAAATGTTGACCCTGTTTGACCCTGGACATAGTCCCTGTTTCTAATTTTGACACCACTGACCTAAACAGTGGATCAATTGAACAAAAAATGTCATTGTAGAGGTGAAGGGGCTGGGAGAGCAACTTCACCTGCACCACAGAGGATCAGCCAGCGCAGGTGAGAGCTGTTAGCTGATTGATCCTCATGCTTGAAAAGGCAGCAGCGGAGCTGCCTCAGGGGGACACACTGGGGAAGAGACTGGGAAGCTAGAGGTCCAGCAGAAAGTGCTGGACCCTTTAAGTTGAGTGTTTTTGTGAGTTTCTGTTTTAAGTTAATAAAGATGTTGCTGAGCCCCGAATGGTTTGACTGGTTCGTCTCTGGCTGTCATGGTGAGAGCCCCGTGGCATGGTCGACTTCCACAGTCATTCTTTAAAAATAAGTCTGACTTTGATTTTTCTTGCTTTTCTGTTGTACATGTTTGTGAGGACATTACTTCTGCAAGCCAATGTACCCTTTGTTAGTGTAACACACATCCTGAGATGCCTTTGTTTGTGCAGATTTTATCTCTGAGGAGTAAGAACCTGGTGGGCATCACCCTAACCAACTGTGGAATCACGGAACTGGTCCTCAAGGACTGCCCCAAGATGATGTTCATTCATGGTAACACTGATATTTGATGACTCAGTGATGTTTTTTGAATTATTAATTTGTTAAAATAAACTAAAGATGAACTAACAATCTAAAATCTGATACAGGAAGAAATGGTGTGTTGGTTAAAAAAATCAAATGC